GTTTGAATGAAACTCCGTTGAAATAGCAACTCAATTAATGAATTAATTTTATTTTTTAATTTGGTTTAACTAATTCAATAAATAAATAATTAAGGGTATTAGAATCGTTTTAACTTCAAATGCACTTCTTAACAAAATAATTTGACGATTAAATTTTTTGACAAATAAAGTATTAAAAGTGTACCGACCTACAAATATTCCTTTTTTGTTATTCATCAGTTATTTATTATTTAATTGGGTGGTAGCCCACTCTGCGACGTAACGCAACCTTCGCCATCGTGAGAGAAGAGCAACCAAATTCTCTCCGGCATTCCCTCCCCAACCCACCCCTTCACTTCCCTCCTCTTTAGCTAACACAATTCTCTCATCCACCCTCTCTATTCACTTTCAAAACTTAAACCCTTTCCCTCCCTCTCTCTCAATTGTCATCGCTATCCCTTCCAGGTATATTCGATCCGATCTTAATTCTGGTCCCTCCATCTGCATTTCACGTTTTTAGTTCTCCATCTCTTATTGTTTTTTGATTCCTTCTTGTCACAATTTGATATATAATCTGCACATTTATACAGAGGTTTTTTTTTAATGCCTTTGGTTTGCGTGGTATATAATTTGCTAAAGAATCTTAAGGGCCGATTAAGAACATAAATATAATTAAATAAATTATTTTAAGTACTTGATGGACCATTTTCGATAATAGCTAAACAAATAGTAGCACTGACGGTTTCTGTTGTTGAAATGTTATTATAAAAATTACTGGAGAACATGTCTTAATTTCTGTTAGTCAATTAAGTGAAAAATTCAATGAGTTAATGAAACAATGTAGGTTAGAAGCAGTGACCCTAACTAGTTTCGTGGCACGCCCAATTGACACAGTTGCAATGGTGTTGAAGTTAGTGTTGAGTTTGTTCAATGGACTGTGTATGACATGAGGGTGGCTTGTTGCCGCTTGATGTTTTGTCTGACATTAAAATATTAGTATGACCTTGTATTTAATGTAATCTTGCCTTTCTAATTCTTCTTAATCAGGTGAATACATCCATTTTATGATGCTCTTGGAGCATGATTATAGGGGTTTTATCTCAATCTTGTTGGCTTTGATCTGTGCACATTGAAAGGCTATGTTGAATTCAATTTGACATGCTACACTAAGAATTTAGCCCAAATTGTGGTTGCAACAGAACTGCAGGAGTTTTCTGGTCTCCCGAGCTTTTTTTCAGGAGCCTTCGTTGAATCCTTAGGATAACTCATTTTGATGTGGTTTTGTTTTGCACGATCCAAATACCACATATATATTCGTTGTTTGGTCGCCTAGGTGTGTAATACCTTCCTAGGCTCCTAGATAACTAGGCTGTTAAATTGATTGTTGAATTTAAGCATTATAAGAGAGCTGGCCTCTACGTTTGATCTTGCTAGCATGACCAATGTGCTTATTTTAGATGATAAAAGAAAATCATCATTTCCCTTTGTTTTTGACATGTATGTATAGCCTCATGTGCTTGTTATGATTTATGAGGTTATTTGATATGCAGCATATGCAAATCAAATAGTGTTTTGGTCCTTGTTATGATTTATGAGGTTATTTGATATGCAGCATATGCAAATCAAATAGTGTTTTGGTCTTGTGTATTTATTTTATGCATCCATACATGTATAGTTTTTAATTACCTAGATTTTTCTAGCAGTTAATGACTGAAGTTAGGCAGTAAACCAATGCTATTAGTTGTTTTTCGGGATATCTGAACATTTTTACACTACATTAAGTATTCTGGTCATGCTTCCAAGTTATTTTTTGGAACAAAAGGCAGCTACAATCAAGCATTTGATTGTATGTGCAAGTTACATCTTGACTGTTACATTTGATATTGATTATGTGCGGTATGTTATAGGGAAAATGTAAACCATGCATATTGCATAGACCCATTTTTTTTATACTTCTATTTTTTGCTTAGTTCTATGTTTCCAGCAAGTTACGCCTTCAACTCCTGCAAAAAAAATCTAGTCTAGGCACTGACGCTATGCTTTAAGGTTTTGATGTTTGATTGTGTAGTTAAACATCATTGCTTTTCCATGTTTGATGATTGTAGCAGTGAGGTGCCTTATGAACCCATATATCATGAAGTGACGATATATGTGATATTTATGATGCTGGCATTTTTTGGCATTCTTCTAAGAAAACATGTTCACATTTCCAGATGCTATGAAAGCACAATTTTTTAATTCCAATGCAAAAGCACTTTGCTCATGTAATTTTAATGGAAAATTCATATCCACTGCAATAATTTGCTATAAGGGAAAGCTAACCTCCCCACTAGTTGGTGATTACCTTGACCATAATTTCTTTTGAACAGAAAAGTCCAAATTCCAATTAAAAACCAGGGACAATACTTTGTCTTTCCACTCCTTTGAGTTCCTCCAAAAGAACGCTTAACCAGGAACATCTCTCTCTCTCTCCAACAATGAATCCAATAAGAGTCCCCTCCTTGGATTAGACTTCTTGTGGGTAGCACCTGGTCTGGCTTTTAATTGATATTAGATTATGAACAGATGTGATGCAATCAATGGCAAAAGAGAATTTTTTTTTTCCTTTTGTTTTCACATTTTTTTCAAATTTTTCCAAGACATTTGGACATGAGAATTAAAGGGCAGAAACATAATCCTTCAACTTCATGGGATTGAAGTGGAATATTTCTTGGAAGTGTCAAAATTGGATTCCATGGTAAAAGATTAGAATTCACACATGAAGAGTTGGGGAAAAGAAGATTAGGATTCTAGATAATAGGATTCACCAACTAAGAGTTAAGAACAGAGAAGAAGACTAGGTTTTTAACATCAATCCTTATTACCATGATTTTCAAACCCGGTGGACTGATCAGAGACGATGGATTGGGTGGGTGTTCTTAGGAGATGTGATTGGAGGGATTGGGTGTATGCTATGAAGTATGAATATTTTGTTAAGGTCGACGTATCCGTATTGGATACAATATTTGTCGGATACTCAGGAATATGTATCAAATACACATCGAACGTATCCGATAATTAATAAAATATGTGGATACTTCGCGGATATTTCTACATGTAGAGCAAGTTGTATAATTTTTAATTTTAATCTATACCCTCTCCTTTCGAATTTTCATACAATGCAAAACATCAACAAAATTCTATTTGATTTTAAATATGAGTATTTTTTAAGTATTATTTACTATTACTCAAAAGATTATAACAAAATGAGTAAGTTACACTATAATCTTGTAAACAAACACTTGTAAACAAACCAACTAGGTAAATGTTAGTTCTGATTCCTTTAATTGGCCACGTTCACTTTATATATATATCATAATGATACGATATTATTTTTTTTTAAGGAAAAAATTACTAATTTTTGCTTACTAATAACTATTAAAAATTATAATTTTTAAGCCATTAAATAATAGTAAAATAGTAAAATATATTTTACTATAGTGTATCGTAACCATATCCGTATTCTAATTTTTCAAATTTTGCCGTATCGCCGTATTCGTATCCATATCCGTATCTGTGCTTCTTAGGGTGTGTTTTTTGGAGGACCTTGAAAGAGTCTGGAAAGCAATTTAGGTAAAAGAGAGCTAATGATCTAGGACGAATAGGGAGGTTAGCTTTTTCCCTTTTCAGTAATATTTCACAGTAATTAAATAGTTGAAACACTCTGATATGTCAAAATAATTACCTTGTTTTTTGTGTTTTGATTCCCTGGGGGATATGTATCAGATTTGAGTTGTCAATGGCAAAGGTTAACAAAGTACGACGAAGATCTGTCTCCCGTCATCATAAGGTAAACCCATATCCATTGCCATCTTGCCGTTTGAAGGTTTTAGGGGATGTTCATCAGAAGAAGAAATGTTCAAAAGTATCTGAGAAGAAAGATTGGGAAGATGCAATTTGCTCAGTTTGTATGGAGTACCCTCACAATGCTGTTCTACTCCTCTGTTCCTCTTACAACAAGGGCTGCCGCCCTTATATGTGTGCCACTAGTTATCGCTATTCCAATTGTCTGGAGCAGTACAAAAATGCGTATACCAAAGTCACTTCAACTCGAAGTGCACAATCCAGGCAAGAGTCGAGAGATGATCCACATTCCAGTTCAGGGATAGGTTGGCCTCATGAAAAGAGGGAAGTATCTGAACTTTTGTGCCCGCTTTGCCGAGGACAGGTGAAAGGTTGGACAGTGGTGGAACCGGCACGCAAATATCTTAATACCAAGAAGAGAACCTGCATGCAAGATAACTGCTCTTTTGTTGGAACTTACAAGGAGCTCAGAAAGCATGTAAGGGCACAGCACCCATGGGCACGTCCCTGTGAAGTGGACCCTTCACTTGCAGAGAAATGGAAGAAGCTTGAACATGAGAGAGAATTGAATGATGTGTTCAGCACAATTAGATCAACCATGCCTGGGGCAATTGTAATGGGGGATTATGTAATAGAGGGGAACTATCGTCGCTTTTCGAGAGATTATGATGTGGAAGACTATTTGGATGATGCTCTTTTCAGGTTGGAATCGTATGGTGAAGCCCAAGACGATCATATCCTCTCTGATGGGATTTCCGATGGCGGTTATGGCTCACGGGATGAGGAAGATTTTGGTATACGTCGTGCTATTGCTTTGGCTGCACCAGGACATAGGGATAATTATATCTCCAGTATCACCCGCCAACACAGCAGATTATTGTTGGGAGGTTCAAGGAGGCGAAGGAGGCACAGAGCAGCTAATGGAGCTCGACGATTTACATAATTAAATTGTCAGATATAAGGGGGCATTGGTTCCAATTATCAAACAAAAGAATAAGGAGTTTGCCAGGACTTTGTCATCAGTTTAGTGGATTTGTATTTAATTACAAAAAGATCCCCTCACTTTTTGGTGAAGTGGCAGCATTGCATCTGTAGAATAATGCGGATCGACTTAACTGCCGCTGGGGGTCAGTAATTCCAACTGATTATGTAAAAAGCAGGCTACGCCCTTGCTCCCTGATGTGGATGTCTACAGGTTTATCGAAGTAGGTAGTTTAGTGACAGTTTGCTTATGATTTTAGGGATAGGCTCTCCTTTCATTATTTGTGGTGATCATTTGAACTTGAGGTTGAAATGACAGAAACTGCCCTAATTTACCTTTATATTAAACCTTTTTCTTTTGTTTTTGCCTTCGTAGTCTTGTTCTATGGGTTATTCAATTTCATATTGATTCCTTTATGTACAGCTTGAACAGTGTTTTTGGAAAGATTCTCTTGCAGCTGTCCAAAGCAGACTTTCACAGTAATGTGTAGAAATGACTCTTAAATTTCTTGGTGTAATTTGGTGCCTTGGTATTTTTAAAGCTGGGCAATAAAAGGTGCTCTGTGCCTTTGAGTGAGGATAATATACAACGCCCTGCTCAAATTCCCCATGATGTATTGTTCCTGTTACAATGGGTTTGGTTAATGGAGGATTCTAGAGTTCTTGAGCTGAATATATGATGTTTTTCCATTCGAGTCCTTTAGAGAATGTTTCCCTGCTTTTTAACAATCCTCTCCATATAGGTGAATAATAGCTTTAAGGGGACTAGTTGAGGGCCTGAGACAGGTCTAGTGTGGCCTGTGGGGTGTCTCCTATATCTGGGCAGTAATGTATGATCTCAAGGTTGAGAAGAGGAATGGCATAGTTCGGATGCTGTACTAGCAAGGAGTTCAGTATTCCTAGCAGAGGCTTTTTTCAAGCCAAGTCCTCATTCCTTAGGACTGGAAATAACATTCGAGTTCATCAAATGGAGTTTCCTCTGATAAGATAGGCTCTACTATGCTCAATCATGCCATACTGAACAGAGCTAGGAAGTGCCATATTTTGCATGACATAAGTAGGTAAGATATGTCCAATTCTGTCAAAGTAGCTTTCCCAGCGCAACTGTGAGAACAGTGGCTTTTGAACCTGCCAGTTTGTTTCTGACTTTATCAACTAGAAATTGATGGGATTGTCCGGTTGCCTTGCTAGTGATTCAGGGGAACCCTAATTACTTTGCTATGGTTGGCTATGAAAGAAATTTCTAACTGGAGAGCTAGAGAATCCTTAGATTTTCTGGTGCATTTCTTTCCAAAGTTGATGATTTGTCCAGATTTTGCTCAAAACTCCTGAAGGATAGGTTGACAGGTATGTTGGTCAACGTAGTCTGATAGGAACAGTTAATCAGCAAATAAAAGATGAGAGAGATGGCCCTCTGTGGGAGATATCTCAGGTTGCCAAAGCTTTACTGTGACTAAGCTCTTTATTTTGATTGTTCAGCGTTCCATGCACAAATCAGGATACACTCGGAGAGGGGTTCCCCCTGATCTGATGCCTGTAGTTGGCAGGTAAAACTCGATGGGGCATGGCCGAAGAAGATGAAGAAACACAAGATGTCACAAGGTTAACCCCATCTATGGTAAATGAGAAGTACTGATAAAATACTCATTGGCATTCTCCAAGTCGATTGTAATGGCAATGTGAGCTGTTTTTCCTTTTTTCTTATTGTAATTATGGATGATTTTCTGTATATTTTTATTCTGCCAGGAATGAAACTATTTGGAGTGGACTGAGTAAAGCATCAGGAAGAGTCCCGATTCTAGATGAAGGATCTTGGTGACAATTTTATAGCTGGTATTACATTAGGGTCAAATCAAGCATGTATGTAATACATGTATGGTCTGATTTTGGGCAGGAATAATAAAACTAGTCTGGAAAATGTCTGAGATCATAGGATTGGCTGAAAGTCCACGGATATGATTGTGAAAGTTGCCGAAAAAACTCAGATGGGGGCTGGTAATAGAGCGTGCTGCGTCAAATTTGTTTAATTCATGTCCGACTTATCTAGTCATGTATAGTTAAATTCTTGTTGATATGTTTACCAAGTGTGTTTGATATCTTAATTCAATTATGACCCAAACCCATTAAGAATAAACCCATGCCTGATAATTTTGAATCAATTTCATTTTAGATAGACAAGTGATCTTCAGAATTATTAATTCTAAGTTTGTGGGAGCCATTGCGAGCAATATTGGTTTGGTATAGATATTTGTTTAGAATATGCATTTAGCTACAATGGTCTTCCTATCTTCTATATGTCAAGATTCACCTCTTTTGCTGCACCACGAACAAGGAGCTTATAGTGGCCAGGTTTCTTAGAGCTGTCTAAATTATGCTAATGACTAACCCGCTAAATTCGTGTTTAGTTTAAATTCAATTAATATATTTTGTCAAAATTGTCACTTCTATTTATTTTATTTATTCACATATTATACAAGACGTTTGGATAACATGGAAAGAATTGATAACAACCTCAATTCCACTTTAAAAGGTTAGTCTTATTTGAGTTTTTTTCGCCACTACTTGGAACTCTCTTACCTTTGTGTGGGACAGGTTTTGTAGTGCTTTCGAGTTGGAATGAGAGTGGATTGGGATAGTCGGGTAGGGTAGGGGTAGGGGTAGGGGCGAGGGGATTAGACTCCCGTGCTCGCTTAAAAAAAATTTGTTTACCTTTGCTCTACCCGAATTAACGGGATAAGTTTAATTCTCATTTTTATCTTGTAGGTAAATTCTAATCCCTATCCCCTGCCACTAGTCCATGCCAATTACAATTATTTTTTTGTGATTTTAAGAAAAAAATTTGAAAAAAAAGGCCATAACGATTAAAATGCAAATTGTATCAATATATGCCAGTATTACATGATATGTTCACCCCCAAAGACATAAAAATAAGTTAACAACATAACCTAGCATAATTGAGCAAAAAAAAAATAACAATAATAAATAAATAAATAAATATATATATATATATATATATATATATATATATATATATATATATATATATATATATATATATATATATATATATATATATATATATATATATATCAAGTTCAAAGAAATGAAATATTAAATGCAATCAGATAACAACAACAAAAAATGAATATATCCCAGCATTCACCCTGCACGAGTTTATATGGATATTCTCGTATACATTTATCATCCAATATGTATGGTCCATTTATGATCGTCCACTTGCATTCCTACTCCCAAGTCACTTGGCAATAGTATCTTGGGTGGCTTCTCCACTAAAAAAATGGTGGCTTTTTTTAATTAATTTTTATTTATGTTTGTAAAATTTACGATATCTATATAATAAAGTACAATACAATTCAAATTTAAAAAGATAAACAAAATGACTTTTACTATTCACGGTTGAATTTTTTTTAAATTTTATATTAAAGTTAATCTGACGGCTAACATTGAAACCCTAAATTTAATAAAAAAAATAGATTCATAAGGGTGTATTTAGATTGATTTTTTTAAAAGTGTTTATATGAATTATTTCTCATTAGTACTTTAAAAAAAATTATTTTTTGGAACCTTTCTACCATTACCACTACCACCCTTACCCCCACCCCCACCATCACCACTACCACCTTTGCCCCCCCCCCACCCCCACACCACACCACCACCCCCCACCATCACCACTACCACCACTACCGCATCCTACCATCACTACCACAACTATCGCACTTTATCACCACTGTCATTGTCCCACCATCACTGTCTCACCATCACCACTATCACCACATTGCCCCACCACTACCCCCACGACCATCACAACTACCACCATCGCGACCCCACCCTCACTGCCTCACCGCTACCACAACCACCATCATCACCCACCACTGATTGCTACTATCATCGTCAACTATCACCACCCATCATCATCATCATCTTATTCTTATATTTATTATCTTATCACCATCATCTCACTACTACCGTTGCCCACCGTCAGCACCGACCACTGCCATTGTTGTTCATCGTCACCCATTAGCACAACACACCACCACCCTCATCGTCTACCATCGCCACTGGCCACTGTCACCCACCCCCATCACACCTACCACCACAACTCATCATCACCCACCATTGTAGCCACCCATTGTCACCTGCCCTCATCATACTTACCATCGCTGCCATTCGCCACCACTCATTATACTATCACTTAGAAACATCCATCGTGATCGCCCACCACCACCATCATGACCGCCCACCATCACCGTTGTTGTCCCACCGCCCACCACTGTCAACCACCATCACCGTCGTTCACTACCATCGACACCCATTACCATCACCCACGGCTGTCACTACCATCATCGTCACCCAAAACCCACCACCACCATCATCGTTGTCACCCATGACTGCCACTATTACCACGGTTGTTACCACCCACATCATTAACACCGCTTATCCTCATTACAATTGGTACTTAAATTTTTTTTATCTCTTTTATGTTTGTGATTTAATTTTGGTGTAAATACAAATATATTTATTACTGATCATTTTTTTTATTATTTCGTGCATTCAAGCACGGGGAATAACTTTTTAATAGCATGTATAATAACTTTTGACATTAATAGCATGTATAATAATATATATCTACATATTATATGCTAGCGCCTAGCGGTTACCTTATATTTGCACGACATTTATAATATCTTTTTATCGCATCTCTATTTCCACTCTCATCAGCACCCCTACCTTCCACTCCATCTTAACATTATAAAAAAATATTTATTAATGTGATGTATTAATACTTTAGAATTAAATGTGAAGGAGCGTAGATCCTCTGCTGCTGAAGACTAGCAACATGCAGTGTAGTTCAATGACGATACCATTTTTTTTTTTGCTTGGATCCATAACCCATTCCTTGCATCCTTTTGCATAACGTTGTTTGAGATTTCATTCGTTCACCAAAAAAATGCTAAAAAACATGTTGTTTCCCACTTCTTATGCAAGAGGCCGACTATTTCCCCTATTATTGTATCTATAAAAATATATTGAATAAAAATGAATTATTTTAGAATGATATATATATATATACGGGATAATTCCTGCAATAGTATGAGGTAGCAATCTCCAAGCTGGCGAACTTGAAACAACAGGGTCAGAAAAAAGGGGGCCAGACGAGTGCCCGGCTAATCCCCTTCGAAGCTTAAGTCAGTATAAGGTTGAAAGATTTTGCTCAATGGACTATTTTTCTGGTTCAAGTTTACGTACCTTTGTTTATTTTTCTGAAGAGTATTTATACCTGAATTGACAATAATTGTCAAAGATTTCCAATCCCATTGGACATCTTACATCTGACACACCATTCCTTGTGCAATGAGTGTTTTTTA